ATACAATTTAATTTACGTGTTAACAAACCTGTCAAGAGCTACTAGGTTCTGTGTTTAAAGCAATTTATAAGTGTCAGTATATACACTCACTTATTCATTACCTTCCATGTTAAATAAAAAAAAAGAAATTATAATCAGTTTTAAAATAAGTTTCACACTTTATACCACTATTATATGGTGTTAGTACTAAAAGGTTCACTCACTCCCTTACTTCAGCGACATAGCAATTATCATACTAATATCTCTCCCTTTTCCTTGGGTTGTCACTCCCTCATCCTCAAAAACAACAAATCAACTATGGGTCATATCACACTTCAAGTGAAAGCAATGTGTTAATTGTTTTTACTCCAGTTTATCTTTATAAAACATTGAATAAATTTTCAGTTTTCTAATTGATAGTGAAAGCTATGTAAGACTGCACTGGCTCATACAGAAAAGCCAGAATCCTCACACCCAGTTTCAGAGATGCTGATTAAACTTTGAACGATGATCATTTAATTTTGGAGTATGTGATCTAGTGTTGAATTAACTTGAACAGCATGCATATATTAAAATTATCACATTCTTTAGGAGTTTATATAAATATTATCATCCCTTAACTAGCATCACAGTGCATTCCTTCCCATTAACTTCTAAATTGATAAAAATTGTGAGTCACCAATGTATTGTATTCATATTACAGTATCATAATATTATTTAATTATTTAAGTAAATGTATGTCAATTACTGATAATCTTTTTTTTTAATTCACATTTTAAGATACAAAATAGATGGTTTCAAATCTACAGTAAATTATATAGAGAGAAAAATCATCAATCTTATTCTACAAACAAACCTTGTAACAATGTATTAACCTACATTGTTCAGCTGTGTGGTCAAAAACCTATCAAAGTTTTAGCAGACATAACAAAGATGTGACAGAAAGCTAAAATTTAGTTCAAAGGGTTTTATCACCTTCCAATTATGTGTTGAAAGCTTTGGTGATCATTATTTATGTAACAGTTAAATTTGATTAAAACATAGAATAAACTGTCAGTGTTTTAGATAACACACTTTTTGACAATGAGAGTGAAATTAATACCCACGACCTTGTCTGAAAGAATTTGCGGGAATTTGATGCAGCCACTGTATGTCCCACATAATCTGTCAAGAGTTATTTATACAAGAGCATGCAGGCAGTGTTAGGCAATTATAACAGACCCATTTATTCACATCAGTATTCTATTCATTAAACTTAAGTACATTGTACAATAATTATGGGTAATTCATTTTCGAAGAGTTGGAGCAGAAGATTGATCTGTCTAAATAAAATTAAACATTAATATAATATCAATCCTGAGATTTAGGTAATAGATAATGTGATCTTCGACTGACTTGTTCTAACCATCAATATCTTAAATGAATATTTGTTATTATCTCAAATCCTAGAACATAAGCTTTCAAATATGACTGATACAATGTCCTTCATAAGTATAAATTTGGTTGTGAAAGAAAGCTCTAATTGATATTACTAAGAAATTTGATAAATGATTATTATGAAAAATCATCAAAATTGATATTTTTTAATAATTCAAATAAACATTTAAAAAAGCATACCACTAGTCTACTTCAAAATATTTTTATGTCCCGCCATGAATATGGCTGGGGCATATTGAGTTTGTCATGTCTGTCTTCCGTCCTTCTTTCCTTCCGTCAAGCTTTGCATTTAGCTCAGTTCAAAGCTCAGTTTCAAAGATATTTTTCAAGATAATTTTTATAAAGCTTCATATGTTGATAGGTATTGGTGAGAGCTTTTCAATTCTGTAAACATTTTTTGACTTTGACCTTTCCTTTGACCTTGACCTACTTTTCTTAAATTAGTGTTTAGCACAGTTTTAAGGAAATCATTCAGGATAGTGTAATCAAACTTCATACGCTGATACATACTGATGTTAACATTTTTTTTTACCTTGACCTTTCTTTTGACCTTGACCTCACTTTTCTTCTAAATAATGTTCAGCTCAATTTTAAATAAAGAATTCAAGATATTTTCATCAAACTTCACATGCTAAAACATACTGATGAGAGCTATCAACTGCATCAACATTTTTTTCACCTTGGCCTCACTTTTCTTAAATCAGTGTTCACCTCAGTTTTAAATAAACCATTCAAGATATGTTTATGAAAATTAATATGCTGATACCTATTAGTGAGGGATATTCAACTGTATGAAATCTTTTAACCTTAGGCTTTCCTGTGATCTTGACCTCAATTTTCTTTAATTTGCATTTTGCTTAGTTTAAAAAAAACATTTAAGGTATTTTTATGTAAGCTTATGCACTTATACATAATTTGGTGATAATTTATCATCTATATCCAATATTTTAAGATTTCAATTTCAATTTTTAAGAAACTATTCAAGACATTTGCTTCAAACTTCATACACTAATACAAATTTTCATGTTGCATTACTAATATACACTGGACGGGGCATTCATGTCCTATGAAAATATTTCTAGTTTTAAATTACAGAAATATAAACTAAAATGTTCATCTACACTTTTCCAAGGAACGCACGCATCACTTTTAATAGCAACATGGGAATATAATAAAACTAAAGAGTTGTCACCTGAAGAATTTTGTATCTTTATTCTATACATCAGTAAGACAGATTAAAATCTCACATTTATACCAAGATTGATCAATGTAAAGCTCACATTCAGTAACTCTTATTTTGGGGGTATTGCAAGAAAGAATATATTTGCTTAAACAATCGGAAAACTTCAGGCCAAAGGAGCAGAAAAATATCTAAAATGGATTATGGAGTATCAAACAGGCATGAATGACACCATCTAAAAAAGTAGCAAGAAACATTATTTGTCTGTTTTTGAGCAGATTTTAAGGTGATTCAACAAGATACCCGTAACCTAATTTTAGTAACAGGAGTTATGTTAAACGTTGCAATAGCTGGTGCTTTATAGCAACATGGGAATATAATAAGACTAGAGAGTTGTCACCTGTAGAATTTTGTTCTAAATAGCAAAAATCAAATAAAAAAATATCAGACTCCAAAATTTGACTCCAAACTCCACTCCATAACTCCACTCCATGCCTCCAGTCCATGAATTACACGGTGCCGCATTTTTGTCAGTTCTCTGTGGTTGTCAATCAAGCTGTAATCTGACATGGTACTGTTGTTCTCCATGAATTCCAGTGTGTTAAGAATTCCTTTCTTCTTCTTGTCTAACTCAGATTTCACATGGTTCAGTTGATTATTCTTTTTAACCAAGTTGTCTATCAGTGTTTTTTCATGGTGTTCTTTGATTTCTGTCAATCTGGTCATTATCTCATCATAATGCTTCTGAAGCTTTTTAACCTCAGAGTTACAGAGTTCTTTATTTTCTGCGATCTGTTTTGCTATCTTCTCACTAATCCCAGGCAGATCCTCTTCCTTGATTTTCTTCAGAAATTTAGGTAGATCTCTTCTCCTTTCAGTGGCGGCCGTGGGTAAAGTTTTCCAGTCATGATCTCTATGATCTGTTTTGGCAGACTTAGCACAAATGAATTTATCACACTCCTCACATATAATATCAATAGGTAATTCATGGGTTTCACATGTTTTCATGTGCACAAGAGGAGAACCTAATGAATAGTTTTTGACTGTACCGGCAGCCATGTTTTGCCTACCTGAATGACCTACTTTTTAGTGTGCAGATTAGATAACTACAGATTTTGAAGTTGGACTTTACATTTATTCAGTATGACACCTAGATATGCAATGAATTGTAAACATACAGGTTTATACTACGTGGTACACAAATTGGGATATTCATTTGAACCAGAAAAAAATTGAAAGTGATATGTACAATTTTTCAGATTTTCTGAATTAAGTGTGAAAAGTCCTGTTGGTCATTGTCATGATTACTTTATTAGCTCACCTGAGCTGAAAGCTCAATTGAGCTTTTCTGATCACTGGTTGTCTGCCATCTGTTCGTCTGTAAACTTTTCCCATTTTCAACTTCTTCTCAAGAATCTGGGCCAATTCTAACCAAAGTTAGTACAAAGCATTCTTGGGCAAAGGGATACTAAATTGTTCAAATGAAGGGCCAAGCCCTTTTCCAAGGAGAGTTAATCAAGAAAAGGCAAAAATAAGGTTAGGTCATTAAAAAATCTTTTCAAGAATCACTGAGCCAGAAAAGCTGAAACAAAATAGGAGGAAGCTTCCTTAGGTAGAGTAGATTCTAAATTGTTTAAATCATGGCCCCCTGCATAGGGTGGGGCCACAATAGGGAATCAAAATTTTACATAGGAATACATAGGAAAATTTTTTGAAATCTTCTTAAAAAACATTTGGCTAGAAAAGCTGAAACTTATATGGAAGTTCCCTGAGGTAGTATAGATTCAAAATTGGTTATATCATGGCCCCTGGGAGTATATGAGGCCACAATAGGGAATCATAGTTTTACATAGGATTATATAGGAAAATCTCTCAAGAACAGTAAAGTCATGATGAATCATATTATTGACTTGGAAGCATCCTTTGGTAGTGTGGATTCATTTTTGTTCAAATCATGGCCCCCTGTAAATTGGGTGGTCAAATCATGGCCCCCTGTAAATTGGTTGGAGCCACAAAAGGCAATTAAAGTTTAATTTACATTGGAATATATATATATATATATATATATATATATATATATATATATATATATATATATATATATATATATATATATATATATATATATAGGGGGAAAATGTGATGCAGAACAGCAGGGTCAAAGTGACTCAGATGAGCATTGTGGCCCATGGGCCTCTTGTTGTCAGTGTTAAATTTTGTGTTTAATGATCGGTGAGATGAATAAACTAGCATCATAACTTTCAATCATCTTAGGCCCTGATTAAGGCAAAATGATTTTAATGAAGTTTGTATTCTTAGTAAAGGTAGGACTGCTGACTCCGTCGACTCTGGTAAATTCAGGTATTAATAATTCCATTTAAATGATTGTCTTTTCTATTTACAGGAGAAAGACAGAAGGATAGAGTTGGTACAGCACAGAAAAAGGAAGAAAAAATCCCTAAGGCCTCATGAGAAGGTAGCAACTTTATCCAAAAGCTTTTTTAAAGGATATAAATGTATGGGCATATAGCTATGTTCATGTAAATTCAAAGTGTGTTTTGAAAAAAGTACATAAAAATGTTTTATTTTATAGATATTTTTTTTACAGTTTTGAATTTTTGGATTTTTGATATGCTGTAATTACATTTATTATATAATTAATAATTGTTCAGTTGTTTTAAAAAATGTTGGATTTTTGATACTATATAGCTATTAGGGGATTAATTTCACGGGTTGTAATTTTCACGTTTTTCTCTTCCCTGACAAGATCATGGTTTGATGAATTCACGGAATAGGTATATTATTAAAGTTACCTCCCTTTTGTGTATCCAGTATAGCAAGAACGACATTCACCAGCGTTATGTAGTCACTTCATGAACAATACTCGGGGAGGTTTAAATAAAGTGGTTAGATTTGGTAATTAACTTACAATTAATTGAAACAAGAGCCATTAAACGTCTTCGACTATAAACGTCGAATGACTTTCCTGTATGCTATTACAATGAGTACATGTACACCCCAAGATCTCTCCAAAGGAATAACACATCACTGCGAAAACCACTGGACGATAAAAAATGTACCTCAACAAAAATTTTTTTTTCCATATCAACAGCAATGCTAAGAGTTAATTTGAATAACACCTAGATGTTGATAAAAACTGATACGCATGATCAGGTAACAAATACACTTGGTAATTTTAGTTACGCATGGGTAATCAAAATCCACGACCCATGTGTTTTGATTGTTCAAGCATTAAAACAGCTTTTTAATTCAAACAGCTTTTTAACAAAAAATACAGGTCATTTTCTGCTGATTTGAATTTAAATAAAGCATGATAATTAAAATAATTGAATGACAAGCATCATTCTTAATTACTGAATGTCTACGTACTGTACATATGTATATATACCTATTGTAGTCTATATACTTATATTTAAAAAAAAAAAACGTTTATTGAAAACGTATTGACTGTTTCTTGAATTCACGGATTTGTTAACACCGTGAATATAGCAAATATTTACACCGCAAGTTATTTTCCCCCTATGCAGTATTCAATACCTTGCTAATAATGTTAGTTAAGAACTTTGTTTAATTACAGGGTGTAAAGGAAACTTTTTATGGCTATGATGAAGAAGACACATCCCTCAGCTCTGATATTTCCCTCTCTCTATCTACTGGGACCTTGTCTGATGAGGAACTCTGTGAAGAGGTGAGGAGAGTTATCTCTCTTGTCTGTCTGACCACATATTTGATGAGGAGGTTTACATAGATTCTCTCTGAGGAATTCCACATGGAATCCAGTCAATAGGAACTGCACTTTTCTGAAATAGTTTCACTGAAATACCATGTTTCACTGGCATCCTATTTAATTAAGAGAAAATCTCCCCTCTCTATATGAAGAAATATATGAGAAATAAAACTTACTTCCCTTCTCTCTTCATCCCTTTTCACTGTGTCTAAATAGTGAGATTTTACTGTAGTTTACTGCAGTTTGTAAAAAAGGGGATGTCAGATCTAGAGGTTACATTCTACCATCACACAAGTTCAAACATCTTAATTTAAGATGCAAATCACATTTTAACCATGAAATTTTATTTTGAAGTAATTTTTTATAAGAGAAAAATGCAGTGCTTCTGAGCTAATAAAACCCTGATGCTTTTTAACAAACCAACTGATGGGTTTTAAACCAAAAACATGATTCATTGACATAAGAAATAATTACATATTTTTGTTAAAATCTAGCTGTTACCGTTTCAAAAAATGTGACAGTCTCTTTTCTAATTATCAGGGCCCCGCAAGGATTTGCGGGTGCCCTATAGTAATCACTCTGTCTGTCTGTCCGTCCAGCTGTCTGTCCGTCTGTCATTCTTCCGTCCACAAATTTTCTGTTTTTTTCTAATAACTTTTTTTGTGGTTGACCAATTAAGTTCAAATTTGGTATGTTGGTTGAATAGGCAGTAAGACATATTTTAATGCTAAGTTTGGTTCTCTATGTCATCCAGTTTGGAGCTGGGGTGGTGGGGTATATTCCTTAACTTTACATTAGAATGAATGCCAGGGCAAAGAGAGAGAACTGCGGAGAATGTTCCTATTGTAAACTATGAAAGCTGCAACTAGTCCCATGGGATTAATTAACTTTCCTCTTGAAGAAAATCCAAAGCATTATCTGTTTCTGTCAAATTGAGATTAATTAACACCTCTGTCTGCAAATGAAGTTTGTTTTGAAGTTAAGGTCAATTCTGAATGATGTTTACATTCTCTGAAATGTGGATTTAAATGATGTTCATACTTTATTTTGGTAAAATATACAATGAGTTATGATTTTATTGAATTCTAAAAACAAGATATACATAAAGATATGTTTTTTTTCATTTTTTTGTTTTTATTTATTTATTTTATTTATTCTTTTTTTTTTTTGGCTGCCGTATGTAAATTGAAGAATACTATTAATTTTAACGGGTAGTCCAATAATAAACTCATTCATCATTACTGAAAGAGTTCTTATTGTAAACTTGGAAGAAAAGGATGAGAGAGGAGTACAATCAATTATTCCCTTGGGATTAATTATCTTGTCTGGGGCAGAAAATTTTCCAGGTTTATCTTTATTTGTCACTACATGTATAAGATAAATTAACCTTTGTCTGCAACTGATGTTTGTTTTGAAGTTAAGGTCAAGCCTGGGTGATATTTGTATTCACTAAAGGCTGGCATATTATAAAACACATGCTTTATTCTTGTTTAAATATACTTTTAATTGAGTTATTATAGATATGATGTTTTTTACTGCCTTATGTAAATACAGGGATACTCTTTACAGGTTGTTGGATATTTAATTTCTTCTTATTTTTAGTTGTCTCGATCAGAGATAGAGAAAAATTACCAGAAACTGATGAAGGAACACTTGGAACTCCAAAGACTACATGCCATATTGACCTCACAATGTGGAACTAACCTTGACCCTCAAAGAGAACTCAAGGTGAAGGTCCTTTAATCAGTATAATACAAACTGTAACTTCCTGTTTTGCCTAGTGTGTTAAATTGTACAGTCTTGGGAATCTTAATTAGCCCTTTTAATTAAGATTCCTTCTTTTTTATGTCAATGATCAAAATTTTGACTTGAGTGAAAAATTATAATATCTTTTAAATACATTTGCTCTGTAATTGAACAGCTGAGGGTGGACTTGGAAACAAACCTTTTCCAGTCACAGTGTCAGATAGAGAAACTGTCAACAGAATTAACAGACACAAGCAAGGTAATAATTAACATCTGTACAAAACTGACAACAGAGTTAACAGACACAAGCAGGGTAATAATTAACATCTGTACAAAACAGATGAACCATCATGTATTGCTAGCAAGCTCACATAGTCTATAAAAAAACCAAGAAATAATAGACCTTAAATGAATAAATTGTCAATTTGTATATAATGTTATCCAATGGATGTCCTTCTAGCAGCATTGCTTGACAAGCTAATACAGTAAAACACGCTTATAGCAAACTCACTTATAATGAATTGAGGCTTACAGTGAAATGATTTTTATTCCCTGTAGCTTTAAAATATATTGTAAACATAATGAATATAACAAATCACAAATATAATGAAGCAAAATTATTCTTCCCTGGCACTTCGCTAGAAGCATGTTTTACTGCAGATATATTAGTGATGATTAGTATAGAGTTGAATTTATCATGACAAATTTGGTCTTATTAGGTTTGCATGTTTTTTCTTCACAATGCTTAATACTTGAACTGCTTATTATGTAATCTTCACTAACTCATCAATTGTCTACAGTTGCAAAAATTGCTTCATCTGCATATTTAACATGGTTGAATGATAAGGATCAAACAGCTGATGTTTGATGAGTACTATTTTGATCAGTACTTTAGAAAAAAAAAATTCAGCTGTGAATTTCATTGAATTTTATTTGCTTGATTTTTTTTTAGATATTTGCATGGACAATCATTTGAACCATGACTGCATGAAAAACAAAGGTGTGTAACTGACCGCATGATTGGATGACATAATACGTAAGTGTAAAACTCACTGCATGATTGGTTGATGTCACATGTAACTGATTGCAGAATTGGCTGACATCAAACATAAGAGTGAAATTGACTCTATGATTGACTGTTGCCAATTCATGACTTCATGATTGGCTGATTTCAAATGTAACTGACTGTTGATAAAATGATTTTAATGTAACTGCATGATTGGCTGATGTCGAAGGTTAATTATATTTGTCCTGAACCTTAAATTTCCGTAGCTCATCCTGGAATCTATTGCATGAAATTACAGAGAGATGAGAGGGAAAATTCGATGCACTATCCCAAACTGATATACATTGAAGTGAATTAATTAATACACCTCTGTACTGATCTACATCTAAGTGAACTAATTAATACACCTCTGTGTAATTTTGTAGAGGCTGACTGCTGTTGAAACCAAAAAAAGTGAAATGCAAGAGAAAAATATCAAGCTGACAGAAAAGGTGAAAGGAAATTCTACAAAAAGTCAGAGATCATTTCAAGAGAAGTTCTTGCATCAGAATATTTGCCGTTATTCCGTATATTGTGGATGTTTTTGTTTATGTAGGTCAAGCAGCTGGAGTTGGATTGCTGTCGTCTGAGGGAGAAGCTGGATGAATCCAGGGATCTTGTGGAGACATTAGAATTCCAGGTCATGGAGTACGAGACAGATGTAAGTATCATAAAGTGATTGTGTCAATCCAGATATAATCCAGATAGTTCAAATCACAGCTGGAATATGTCAGACAGATGTAAGTATCATACAGTGATTGTGTGTCAATCCGGATATAATCCAGATAGTTCAAATCACAGCTGGAATATGTCAGACAGATGTAAGTATCATACAGTGATTGTGTGTCAATCCGGATATAATCCAGATAGTTCAAATCACAGCTGGAATATGTCAGACAGATGTAAGTATCATAAAGTGATGGTGTGTTTACCCTGTTAATCCAGATTATGAGATACTGAGAAATCATCATTTTTTTGGAAGAGGGCCCGGAGGGGGGGTGGGGTAATTTTCATTGTTTTCTTGGTGTGAAGGGAATCACAATCACGTCCTCCACAAAACATCAATATTTCAAATTGCAGTATTATGTCCGTGTTCCAACCATAAAATCAGATCCCCAGAAATTGATATTTTTCCTCGAAAATTTGACCCCACGAAAATAAGTACGGGTAATTCAGACCTGGAATACGAAACAGATGTATTAAGGGGAAGAAGGAGCTTGATCTGAAAAAATACTTGTCATTCAATTTTTTTCATATTTTGTATATTTCTAATTAAGTATGTCTCACATATCTTAAACCAGTTAAATCATTAAGTTTCTTACCTTATTTTAGAGATATTGATTGGTAAACACGAAACCCTACAGTATCTAAGTAGAGTTTTAGATCTCCACGTTTCCGGGCCCATTACTCTGTCCATAATGGGATTTTTTAAGCATAGATAAAAAATATGTAAGTGGACATGTATCTTTTTAAATATTTCAGAGTGTGAATAGGGTTTAAAATTCCTAAAAGCAAGTTTCTTCTATCACACTCCATCTGGATAGGGAAAATTACGTACTTTTTCAGACAACTTAAACAACAAAAAACTTAATTTGCAAAAAATTCTATCATTCAATATTTTAAAATTTACGTGGAAATGCAAGTCCTTCATATTATTGTTTAACTGTAAAAATTTCGAATGGTGAAGCTGACCTCAATATTGCACAGGACATCGTTAAAGAAGACATAAGCATGACAAAAACGTGTCATATTACATTTCTCAAGTATGAGAAAAACCAACTATGACGTCACACGTAATCTAAATAAGCGAAATAAGATATACCTACATAAGATTTCCGTCATCAGCCACGCAAAAATAATTTTTGTGTTCCCTGTTTCTCAAAATATTTCATCATATACTTATTATGACCTGTTTTTACATAGTAATATATCGCCCCTGTATTCACCGAGTATGATCTTGCTGTACTAACAGATCATGTATGACGTCACTGACTAGTTGGACGGGCAATTTGGGGGAAACAGAGGGGTGGATCAATCTATTTCATAATTTGTTAATGTTAACAAGAATGTTTAAACTTTTTACTTTTTTAGGTCACCTGAGTGACTCAGGTGACCTATTGCTATCTCTTTTCGTCCGTCGTCGTGCATCGTCCGTCGTTCGTCAGTCGTAAACTTTTGAACATTTTCAGCTTCTTCTCTGGAACCAGCAAACCAATTTCAACCAATTTTGGCATATAGCATCTATGGGTGAAGGGGAACAAAAATTATGAAATTCGTGGCCCCTTCCCCCCTGGGGCCTGAGGGGTGGGGCCAAAACCATCAAAATTAATGCAATCTTTAAAAATCTTCTTCTTTACTCCTGGACATCAAGCAGTCAAACTGTTGGCATCATTGTAATAAGCATTGAGCCCTCTACCAAAATTGTGAAATTCATGGCCCCAGGGTCAGGGGTTCTGGTGCTAGGGCGGGGCTATATAGATCATATAGTGAAAGTGCATTATTTCTTTGAAAATCTTCTTCTCTACTCCTGGGTATTAATTAAACAAATTAAATACATAGCTATGATAAGCAAGAGTGACTCTACCGAAATTGTGAAATTCATGGCCCCAGGGTCAGGGGTTCTGGTGCTAGGGCGGGGCTATATAGATCATATAGTGAAAGTGCATTATTTCTTTGAAAATCTTCTTCTCTACTCCTGGGTATTATTTAAACAAATTAAATACATAGCTATGATAAGCAAGAGTGACTCTACCGAAATTGTGAAATTCATGGCCCCAGGGTCAGGGGTTCTGGTGCTAGGGCGGGGCTATATAGATCATATAGTGAAAGTGCATTATTTCTTTGAAAATCTTCTTCTCTACTCCTGGGTATTATTTAAACAAATTAAATACATAGCTATGATAAGGAAGGGTGACTGTACTGAAATTGTGAAATTCATGGCCCCAGGGTCAGGAGTTCTGGTGCTAGGGCGGGGCTATATAGATCAAATAGTGAAAGTGCATTATTTCTTTGAAAATCTTCTTCTCTTCTCCTGGGTATTATTTAAACAAATACATGGTTATGATAAGCAAGGATGCCTCTTCCAAAAATTGTGAATTTCATGACCCCTGGATCAGAGGTTCTGATATTAGGGCGGGGCTCTATTTATTATATAGTGAAAATGCATTAATGCTTTAAAAATCTTCTCTGCACCTGGGCATATCAGAGGCAAAAAGAGTAAAAGTTTTAATAAGGAAGGGTATTTATACCCCACGCAACAAGTTGCGGGGGGTATAATGTTTTTGACCCGTCCGTCAGTCAGTCAGTCAGTCAGTCAGTGTGTCATTCAGTCAGTCCGTCAGTCCTGTTTTTTTGTCAGCGCAACTCCTCAGAAACCGCTGCACAGAATTTCGTCAAACTTTGCAGATATTTAGGACACAATGTGTAGATGTGCATACTACCAGGAAATTCCGATTCCATTATTTTTCTGGGAATTTCGGCTCTTTTCAACTCAGATTTTTGGCCATATCTTGAATATAGAGATGAACAGTTTGTCAGCGCAACTCCTCATATACCGCTGCACAGAATTTGGTCAAACTTTGCAGATATTTAGGACACAATGTGTTGATGTGCATATTACCAGGAAATTCCGATTCCTTTATTTTTTCTTGGAATTTCGGCACTTTTCAACTTAGATTTTTGGCCATATCTTGAATATAGAGATGAACAGTTTGTCAGTGCAACTCCTCATAAACCGCTGCACAGAATTTGGTCAGACTTTGCAGATATTTAGGACACAATGTTTTGATGTGCATATTACCAGGAAATTCCGATTCCTTTATTTTTTCTGGGAATTTCGGCACTTTTCAACATAAATTTTTGGCCATATCTTGAATATAGAGATGAACAGTTTGTCAGCGCAACTCCTCTTAAACCGCTGCACAGAATTTAGTCAAACCTTGCAGATATTTAGTACACAGTGTGTAGATGTGCATATTACCAGGAAATTTCGATTCCATTATTTTTCTGGGAATTTCGGCACTTTTCAACTCAGATTTTTGGCCATATCTTGAATATAGAGACGAACAGTTTGTTAGTGCAACTCCTCTTAAACTGTGCAAGGAATTTGGTTAAACTTTGCAGATATTTAAGACACAGTGTGTAGATGTGCATATTACCAGGACATTCCGATTCCATTATTTTTGCCTTAAGAGATTTGCCTATTATTGAAGAAACTTTCCAGCTAGGTAATAAGGAAATCCACTGGAATCAGCTTTAAATTTTGTAATTAGATTTTATGTGAAATATTTCATGACCTTAAAAGACCCCTATTGATTTTGAGATCAAAATATTAATGATATAACACACACACACACACACCCTCACACACACACAACACACAAAATCTTGGATAGTTCTCAACCCCAACCCCCACCCCACCCCTCTCAAATTGGTGCTTTGCCTTAAATCATTTCATAAGTACACTATATAAAAACAAATTCATATGACTACATCATAATTTTGTTTCCATCAATTATTTAAATGTGTAAATTGTCATGTGTTGGACATGGACTTATACTCATTAACAAATCGAAATCACTGAGGAATTTAAATAACAGTTTGTCAGCATAACTCCTGCACTGAATTTCCTGAAACTTTGTAGGTATTTCAGACATAATGTATAGATTTGTATATTACCAAGAAATTTTGATTCCACTATTTATCTAGAAACTTCAGCCCAATTAAATTTGTAACATACAAAGATTTGAATGTCCTTATATGCAAGAAGTTTTGATGTGATGATTTTTTGCAAGTAATGCCCCTTTTTGAATAATTATATTGTGTATTTAAAATGTGTTGCATTGTTGAGTTTTGGGGGAGCGTGGGGTATGTGAGCTTGCTCGCTTTTTCTTTCATATTACCAGATTTTTGAACATCAGAACCATTTGATCAAGTGTTCTGGTCCAGGCCAGGGCTCTATTAATTTGTATTCTATTGAGAGGAGTTATTCCCCTTTGCCATTTACTTGTGTTAATTTATCACTGTAAATAATGTACTTGAAAGGTTAATAGAATAAGAGAATTATGCAAGAATTTTCATTGTATAATACAAAAAGTACTTTCATAGTTTTAATGATCAGGTAGACTTGTAAGTAACAGATAAATAAAAATGAGACAAAAATAACTTGTCTTATTAAATGTTCATCAAAGACCAAGAGAGGCCAATGTAAGAGATTTCAACAAGGAATTAAAAGAGTACAGAAGCACTGATTATAAGTTTGTTAATATACTGTCTGGTGAGAGTGATAGATGGGGAACAGAGTAGAACCTAATTTATGTACTGTTAATGAACACTAGACTAATTATTTTGTTGATCCTGATCAGCCTATTTTTAGCTCTACTGGTCAGAGACCAGAAGAGCTTATGCGATAGTAAGGTGTCTGTCGTCCGTCCGTCTGTCTGTCTGTCTGTCTGTCTGTCCGTCTGTCTGTAAACAATTTTTCAAAATGCTACTCCTCCTACAGTTTTGGTCCGATTTCAATATAACTTGGCACACAAGTAGACTGCACTAAGATACATAATTTAGTGCATCGGTTTTGGATTTCGGTGGACGGTGTTGCCATGGTTACTAAAAATAGAAATTTCTGTGAAATTCTTTTAAAACGCTACTCCTCCTACAGTT